CTCCTAGCCTTGCTCACCATCTTGATAAGGACCCTAGCTCAATCACAACTCAATTGAAAAGCATTAGTCCACTGGTTGTCACTCAATTAACAAAACCAAACTTAGGGTTTTTAGCAGCGGTGTGTGGGGGTTAGGCAGGCGGGTGGAAAACCACCAATACAAAAAATGGGTAGGCACTTGTTGGCCTAATAGGAATGGGTAATGAAGGGAGGATTTCAGGGGCAACAAATTTGGGTGACCTAGTAGGTAGTTTGCTAAAGGTGTTTTTTTGGCTTCGCTACTCAAAAAATAGAGTATGGGGCCTATTGGGTAGGACTTTATTGGAATTCTGTCATTCTTGTAATTGGGTTTCGCTTGTTTGCCATCCTACAAATGAGATTTGCTTGATTGCTATTATGAAACGCGGCTATCATGCTAAAATGCATTTTCTCAATTTTTTATAAGTTTAATGTTGATGTCCATGGAATAGTCTTTCTACTCCATAAATGCCCCTGCCCCTTTAGCCTAAAATTCCTGTGAAAAGTCATTTCATCCGCATAAATGAATCGAGCGTGAGTGGCTAGCGCACTTCTTCCGCATCATAGCTCTGCCTCCCACCATCGTCGTTGTCACCACCGCTGCACCTACCACCCTCGTCGCCCCCAAATTCCACATTGTCGGCTGCCTCCCATCTGCAACGTCAGCCCCAAATCCCACCCTAGTAGCAGCAATGCATGCCGCCGAGGAAGACTAAGAAGATAATAGGGGTGACAAACTAACAATGGCTTGTGGAAGGCAGTGGCGGCGAGGGGTAGGCAGCGCTAATGGCGCCCATGGGAGCATGTTATGCGCTCTCACCGTGACGGAGAAGAAAGAGGAGTCTTCGAGTGTTGTTTTGTCCGTCAACTAAAGAGGCAGGGGCATTTGCGGAATAGAAAAGAGTGTTTTCATGGGTAGCAACATTAAATAGATAAAAAATTACGAAAAGGTATTCTAACGTGATGGCCTCGTTTTATAACGGAAATATAGCGAGTCTCTTTTGCATGATCGTAAACCAACAAAATCTAGTTGTGAGAATGGCAGAATTCTAATAAATTCGTCGATAGTCCCGCTGGAGATGCTCTTAGCTGCTAAAAATTTGATAAGGCCAATTTTAATGAGGAGTTTCATGGCCTTGTTTCCAAAACTGTCATGCCATATAGAACAAAATGAAACATGGTTGAAATACCCACTCTCAATAGAAATTTTTAATTCTATGGTTTCATAGACATTTAATTTCATGACTCATAGAGAGTTAATAATCATGCCAAGAGAGTTTCATCCTTCTTCTATCTCTTATTAAAAACGTTGCCACATTATAAAAAACACTTATATGACAGTTTATTAAATGCAAATGAAACTTTCCTAAGAACATGTTTAGATGCTCATCTAATAAGCCTACCTGATGTCTTACCTCCTACTCTATCCGTTCCAAATTATAAGTCGTTGGTAAGTCAAATAGACTTATAATTTGGAACGGAGGGTAGCTAATAATTAGCTATTAGTTTTAATTAATACTTCATCCGTTCTAAATTATAAGACGTTTTAGTTTTTTAGATATACATGCATCTAGCCGTAGTGTATATCTAAGTGTATAGTAAAAAGCATAAATTTAGAAAAGGTAAACATCTTATGTTTCAGAATGGAGGAAGTAATTAGCTATTAGTTGGTTTCTTTGAGCTAATTAGCCGGGTCGTGGAGAAGCTGTTGCCTGTTGAAGAAACCAGGAGAAGTCGGCAGGCCCTTTTGTTAAAAAAGAAATCCCAGCAGTTGCCGTTCTGAATCAGCAGCGCCTCGAAGTCGAATCCGGTAAACAGCGGAGGCCGCAGCGGCTGCGCCGGTGCGCCCGACCGCTGCTTATTTAATCCTGGCAAATTATGCTGTATCCTCTGGCTGCAGGCCTCCCCGTCCGCCACCCCACCTGTCGACTGCCGAGCTCACCTGATCTAGGGTTTAGCGGAGTGCCCTCGCGATGAAGCGAGGAGCCGATCCGTCCAGGTAAGCTCAACTGACTCCGCTTCTGCTTACGATTTACGATAGGTTGGATTCCGCTTACAGTTCGAGCGGTCTTGTGTAGTTGGTGTCTTGGTGACACCGGCCTGCCCCCCTCGTGCCCGCTGTGGTTTTGGTTTTTGTGGTTCTTGTAGTGTACGGAGCTTGGAACTGGATCAGTAGTGTGTGGAGCTTGGAACTGGATCCATAGATGCACTGCAGTTTGCTTGATGTCATCCGGTGCGATGGATCGGGTAAAACAGGATGTAGTTCTGCAGTTTTGGTGTTCGTATAGGAGGGAACTCGTAGGTGGGGACTTGGGAAGTGAAAATGTTGCTCAGGGCGTATGTGATTCATCGATTTTGTCGCGAGGAAACTTTGCTTCATTTGGTCGGCTGTGGCTCTGCATATATATTCTCTCCTCATTTCATCCCTTTTCCCTAAAATTTTAGGGTGTAGGTGTTTGTTAGAATCATGAGGTCTCTTGCTGCGCTTATGCTACATATTTGGATCCTCAAAAAGCTGTTGTAAGGTTTTACTGGTGCCAACGTATAGTCGGATAATTGCGCAACAGTTTTGTGTTTCTGTTCCCTTACCCACAAAGATTGTAGAATTTGTGTTCGGGACTCCGGGTATGGAAATGTGAGACTATAATGGCAAATTTTATCAGCACAATCTGAAGGTTGCAATATGGACTGAAGAAACTCTTTCAAGCGATAATATACTTGTTTCACTTACAGTACTTGTGAATTGGGCCTCTACGTCTAGGTATATTTTTCTCTAAGTAGGATTTTTTTGTTTCCAATCAAAATATCTTAAGTACATGGAATATAAAGGATGTAGCATATCACTCTGCAACCTAGGAATATTGGCACATACATCCCTCATTTTTATTTGTACCTAACATATTTCTTAAAGAAGATCGATTGCTTGTTTTTATACTATTGCAATAAGATACATGCATTTACACCCAGCATGTTTTACAAAGTTAATTGAAGTTTAGTTTATGATTGTTTGATAAAAAATAATATCATGATATCCCATATGATGGAATACTCTTCATCATCACATAAATTGTTCAGACCATAATACATTGCATTCCTTTTTTTTTTGGTCAAAGTATGTTATTGAACACCAATAACATCAAGAAACAAGTAGATGTTTTGTATGAACACACTATTGATGACTATGATCAAGCTTTATGAATTATGACAGTTTACATCGATTCACAAGTTTGAGTTCTGGGATACTGGGTAACATATGCTATATCGGATGACTACTCTCATTAAGGACTTGCCGCATTTTTTAACTTAGTTAAAAGAGTATTATTAAGGTTAGGAGTGTACTTTTGAAGTATATATCATAATGTAAATATTTTACATTATAATATGAAGTGCATTGCATATTCATTATTAGAGAGTTTGCACATTTGTTTCATAATTTGGTCTTGGTATAACCTAAACACATGTATAATTTCCATGTCAGGAAATATTGGCCATGCATCAGATCATGTGAAATATGAGATGGACTCTTATACCTTGTCTTCTCAGTCATGAACTGGTGGGGTACCTTGATGTTTTTTTTGCCAATCTGATATAACAATAGCAGTCTCTTGCTTAGTGCCTTTATGGTCACTAGTTTGGAGGGTTGTGGGGGTTGGGTGGGGGTGTGGGGCAGTGTGGGCTGTGGGGTGGGTAGGTTTGGTAAATTGATCTGTTGCATGCTTTGCCTTGACTCATAACTAGTGTGATTTCATCTGTGCCTCATGTCTGACTACACACATTGATGTCAATGCCCATTTCTGCATGTTGCTGCCAGTTCCACTTAATTCCACTGCATTTTCACCATTCACCATGCGGGATGCACGTTGTGTGCCACCTGTGACTTGTGAGCTTCTTTTTCTGTTGTCTGCCAGTAATTTGCCTAACAAAAGTTCTAATATATGCACATGGCTCTGCAGTGATATATATTCTTCTTACATTGTCATTTGTCAGTATTATGATGATCCTCAAGTTTTAATACAAATTAAAAATACACTATAAGTACGTTTATACCTTGCATAAGTTGATTTTACTAACCTTCAATTATTTTAATTAGATATGCATTTGGGGGCAGCAAGCTCGAGACAACAACTGCATAGCTTGCAAGAGCTTGTAAGTGTTCTTCTGTCTTATGAGAAATATCATTTATCTTTTGTTATTCCCACGGCGATTGATAGATTGATACAGATTGGATCAATGTTTTTGGTTGGCCTAACTGGTTATTATATGCACTATGATGTGATAATTATACTAGGTTTGATTTTTTCGTAGAATACTACAAATTACAATGAATGTGGTTAAAGGGTATAGTTGCAATGCCTGCTTACTTGGGGTTCCACCCTAAGCAGGTCTCGTGCTTAGAGTACAAAGCATTTTATTTGTTCAATAGCTCAGTTTTGAGACCAACTGCGCATTTGGATGTATCTGTTTTGTCATAGGACAGTGGACATTGGTCTGCTCTGGTTTGAAGTTTAAAGTTGTCATTTTACCAAAATCCTCTGTATTATTCTCTACCTATACACGTTTTCATTTTGAGTTCAAAAGGAATTGTTTTCTATTAAGTTCTAATGGTAGAAGATCATCCAATATTTAACTTGTTATCATCTTTTGAAGTTACTCCCTCCGTTCCAAATTATAAGTTGTCTTGGATCAAGAGATAGCGTATATCTAGGTTCATAGCAAAAGCTATGTACCTAGAAAAGCCAAGACAGCTTATAATTTAGAGTACAATTTACAAGGGCATACATGGCAAGCTTATATGAAAAGCTAAATTATAATCAACATTTTTCTTCATACAGAAGAATTGCATCTAGCAGCTTAAACTTTAGCTGTTAGGTCTTGCAATTCAACCAACTCTCACTGCATTGAAGTCTTATGGCACTTTCAGTGATCTTTCTTAAATCATCTGGTTTACTGACTCTGAATTGTCCTGAAGTTTGGACAAAAATCTCACCCTATACTTGGTGTTTCTGACTTGTCCCTTTGCACACTCAGCTCAAGATTGATCGGAACATCTTCATTCTCTGTATTCAGAATACTGTCTCTAACTGTAGTACTTGTTGGATGCTCATTTACTCCTTGTCCATACACCTGAAAAATGAAAAAGAAATGATGTTTTGTGATTCACATACACTTGACATGTGGAATAAAAGATGAGTTCTACTAATTGCACCCTTTTTTGGCTAACTATTTCCAGATGCATATACCTTTCTCCGTAATTCAATGTTCTCTTGATGAAGAAGGTTGACTTTGTTGTATAGTTCTATGTTTTCCTGGTGCATGAGGCTTCCCTATAATTCAAATAAGAAGTTTGTGTAGTCAAGCGAGACCCTAGAATATGTTAGTAGTTTTGAATAAGTTGTGTGTACAAACCTTCCTGTTTAATTCTTGAATCTGATAAAAAATAAGTTGGTCCTGCAGATTGAAAGTTAGTAAACAAAGTAGCAACTGGTATCTTTGTTGTTAAGTATGTGATGGCGACTAAAGAATCTATAATGCAACCTTCTTCAGATGAATATTTCTTAGGCTCGTCTCCAGCTTATTCTCTAAACTCTGCAAATCTCTTACGTCCAGGCCAGAAAGCTGCTGACCCAACAACTGCCTGCAGTGAAAAATTGTATAGAACATTAGCTTGTGCTTTTCTGAAAATGCACATGTTATTGTACTAATGTATGATCCGATTTCACGTTTAAGAGAGAACATTAAAGTAAAGTACCATTTTTGTAGCCATCAAGTGTCAGTTGAATTAACCAACACATAACATAACTGTTAGCTAATCTACTGCCACCTTGTGTGAAACACAGCAGAGGAAGGCGGCGCCGACTTTACCCCTATTTAATACAAGATGCAGCTGCAGTGCAGGCCAGATGACTCACTCACTGCAAACCTCAGTAGGCACATGCGATGGCAGCAGAGTCAGCCCTATATACTTATCTAATTCTTTATTACGGACGTAGATGTGCGCTGTACTTTAGTTAGATAGATAGAGTTGTATAAATAGGGCACCAAAGCAACTCACTAAAGAGAGCTTAGATTTGCCATCACACAGACAGGGCCTCGGCCAACGTTGTTGTCTTGTATTGTGCGTGCTTGCTCTGTTCTCCCTTCTTCTTCTAGCTCGATCCGTAGTGTGTGGGTGCGGACACAACCCGATATAGTGGTGCAGTGCGGGAGACTAGTGGTGCAGTGCGGGAGACTAGTGGTTTGGTGCAGGAGACTAGTGATGCGAGACTAGTGGTGCGGAGACTAGTTCACTATCGTCGACGGTGATCACGTGGGCCAACAAGTGGTATCGAGAGCCGTACAAGCGCCGTCGTCATTCTAACCGATGGCGATGATAAAGCGGTTTGGAGTTGGGCGACGGCGATAAGCTTGTCGTGGTCGCCTAGCCACTCTACCGGAGGTAGTTGTCCGCCGCGGTCTTGGGAGGTCGGTGGCACCACTTGGTGGCGCCGACTCGCGACTAACTATGGAGAGTGGTCGGTAACCATGAAGGTCAAGCTCGAGCCCGCGGCTCTGGAATGTTGTTGACAAGGGCACCGAGCGTGGAAGAAAAGACGACATGTCGGCGTTGGAGGCTATCCTCGCCTGCTTGATGCGGGTGAGTCTGAGGAACCGTTGGGGACGAAAAAGCTCGGCTAAGGAGGCGTGGGAGACCATTGCGGCGATGTGCGTCGGTTCCAACCGCGCAAAGAAGGCGACAGCCCGACTTCTAAAGCGAGAGTACGCAAACCTCAAGTTCAAGGATGGTGAAACGGTGGAGGACTTCTCCCTCCGCATGCGCAGACGCTCATCGCAAAATTTGAAGAGCCACGGCGTCCACCATCGACGAAGAGGGCGGTCTCCAAGTTCCTTCACTCCGTCTTTAAAAGTACATCCAGATCGCTCTCTCCATAGAGACGATCTTTGGACTTGTCCACCCTCACCATTGAGGATGTGGCGGGCCGTCTGAGCGGTGGGCGAGCACCGAGCAAAGCGGCGGAACGGCGAAGGCAATGAGGAAACTCCTGGCGGACGGAAGAGAGTGGGGTTGCTCGGCGAAACTCCGGAAGGCGACCTCCTCCGGTCAGCGGTGGCAGCGGCAAACATCACGCGGCGAGGCTTCTTTGGAGAAGAAGCAAATCGACTCAACGCTGTCGGTGTTGCGGGGAAGATGGGCCATTGGGCACGGAGTGCCCAAATCGCTGAGAAAGGAAAAGAAGGCTCGAGCTCACTGGCGAAAGCCGATGATGAGGATGAGACTACTATCCTTATGGCGGCGTTACATGCCTTTGCATTTGCGGCGTCGAGGCCATGGAGAGGGAAGAGGCGACGACGGGTGGAAGGATCTAGGAAGGCCACGAAGACCATCAACCTCGACGAACCACGCCCAAGTCCATCTTGGGCATGTGGGCGTCGACCGAGGCAGCGGCGGTGGTATCGGGACTCGGTGCCAAGAACCACATGATGGGCTCCAGGACTCCTCCGAGCTCGACGGTGATGTTACCGTGCGGTGAAGTTTGGTGACGGCTCAAGGTGGCTATCCAAGGCGGCGGCACCATCATCTTCGAGATGCGAGCAGGGAGCACCAGCGCGCTAACGGATGTATACTACATCCCGCAATTGCGTTCCAAAGATCATCGGCATTGGTCACCGGATGAGCGCAGATGGCGAGGTTACGATCAGGACGGCGTTCGAGGATCGAGAGGCCGGGGCAGCGACTTCTTCGCCAAGGTGAAGAGGTTCTGAATCGGTTGTACCTTTCGACACGAAGGTAGAGCGGTACCGGTTTGCTGGCGGCGGCAAGGCACTCAGGAGGAACTGTGGATGTGGCATGCCCGGTTCGGACATTTCAAACCGGCGCGCTTTGTCGGTTTGGGAAGATGGTCCGAGGGCTACCCCACATCAAACACGGGAGGTGTGTGTACCGCTGGCCGAAGAAGCAGAGGAGGCTACCTTTCCCAAAGGCGGCCAAGTATCGCGCGAAGGAAGCTCTCGAGCTAGTTCACGATGACCTCTGCGGGCCGATCACGCTGCTACATGCGGTGGTCGGCGGTACTTCCTCCTACTGTGGACGATTGCACTTCTACATGTGGTCGCAACTCTGACGAAAGCAAGGACGAAGCGTCGGTGGCGATCAAGAAGTTCAAGACGCAGCGAGGCCGAGAGCGGCAAGAAGCTCCGTGTCTTGAGGATCGATCGGGTGGCGAATTCACTTGGTGGAGTTTGCTATGTCTTGCGCGGATCAAGGTGTGGAGCAACATCACGCCGCGCCGTACTCGCCACAACAGAATGGCGTGGTGGAGCGATGGAACGAGAGCGGTGGTTGGCATGGCCCGATCCATGATGAAGGCCAAAGGGATGCCGACAAAGTACTGGGGAGAGGCGGTGACCACGGCGGTGTTCATCCTCAACCAAAGCCCTAACGGGCAAGATGCCGTTCAAGCTCGGTACGAGAGCAAGCCGAGCGTGTCATTCCTCCGAGACATTCGGTTGCATCGGCCACGTCGGAAAGACGGCCGAACCTCACCAAGCCGGAGGACGTGAGCACACCCATGGTGTTCTGGCTACGCGAGGGGTACCAAGGCGTCGGCTCTATGACCCACGCGGAGACAAGGTGACTATCTCGCGTGACGTTGTGTTCAACGAGGAGGCGACTTAGGGACCTGCACAGTCCGAACACGGGGAAGCGGGGGCTTCACCAACACCTTCGTCGTCGAGCACTTGGTCATCCACGGCGGTGGAGACGCCATGAACAGTGCCATGCACTCCGGGGGCCGCCGAGAGCACTCCGGCCAGTAAGTCGAAAGCACTTCGGGGCGATCTGAAAACACTTCAGAGGGATGCCGAGCACTCGGGAGGAGTGTCGAGCACGCCAGAGGTGAAGCCGGAGGTTCTCTGATGGCGGCGACCACTTCAGACGGGTTCCGACCACTCCAAGATCGAGGCTAGGCACTCTACCAAAGTGGCCGAACACCGCAGGAGTTATGACGAGCAGATCCGATAAAGCGATGCGAGCACTTTAGGTGCTATCACGGGGCACTCCGGCGGAAGAAGAACTCCATCACCCCGATTGAGTTCGCCTCACCTCCAAGTGACATCACCGAGTTCGTGGGCGCCTACCACGAATGTGAGGAGTTGAGGTTCCGTGGTCGGGCGACATCGTCGGCGCACATGATCCCCCTCGGTATGGCGGGTAGGTCGCCAACGACGCAGAATCGCTACTCGTCGGTCGGAGGAACCACCCACGTTCGCTAATAGCCGCGCGTGATGGAAATCGGGCGACGAGCAATGCCGGAGGAGATGAAGGCGATCGAGAAAAACGAGACTTGGCGGCTCGTCGATCCACCCCGAGGATGCCGTCCGATCGGCTGAATTGGGTGTACAAAGTCAAAAGGACGAGCTTCGGCGCCATTGTCAAGTACAAAGCGCGCTTTGTCACCCGAGGCTTTGTCCAAATATGCGAGGGCATCGATTTCGAGGAGGTCTTTGCACCAAGAGCGCGCGCATGGAGTCGGTCCGATTGCTACTTGCTTTGGCGGCGAAGAAGGACTAGCGCGTCCATCACTTGGACGTTAAATCGCCTTCCTCAACGGCGGTGGCGGCGGAACGGTCTTCGTCGGGCAACCTCCGGGTTCCTGTCAAGGGAGAGGAGCACAGGTGCTCCGATCGCAAGAAAACGCTCTACGGGCTGCGGCAAGCCCTCGAGCATGGAACGCCAAGCTTGACACCACTACCGGGCGAGCTTGGGTTTCAGAGTGCATGGATGACTTACGCGACGGCGGGAAGAAAGAACTCGTGGTCGGCGTGTATGTGGATGACTTAATCGTCGCGCGCCAGCGGAGGATATCAACGACTTCGAGAGATGGCAGCTCGTTTCGAATGAGCGATCTCGGCGCTCTCTCCTACTACCTCGGCATCGAGGTGAGACAGAGGAAGGAGGAACTCACGCTCGGGCAAAGCGCGTATGCCTCCAAGCTGTTGGAGATGATCGGTATGGAGGGGGTGCAAGGGTTAGCAGTAGGATTAGAGGAAGATTGTTAGCTAATCTACTGCCACCTTGTGTGAAACACAGCAGAGGAAGGCGGCGCCGACTTTACCCCTATTTATGTCTGATGGCAGCTGCAGTGTGCGGTGCAGCATGACTCACCTGCACAGATCAGAGGGCATCATGCAAGCGTGCGCAGAGTCAGCCTCAGATACTTATATAGTTATTTATTATAAGACATGTGCACTGTACTTTTAGTTAGATAGATAGAGTTGTATAAATAGGGCACCAAGGCAACTCAGTAAAGAGAGCTCAGATTTGCCATCACACAGACAGGGCCTCGGCCAACGTTGTTGTCTTGTATTATGCGTGCTTACTCTGTTCTCCCTTCTTCTTCTAGCTCGATCCGTAGTGTGTGGGTACGGACACAACCGGTATAGTGGTCTGGTCTTGGAGACTAGTGGTCTGGTCTGGGAGACTATTGGTCTGAGACTAGTGGTCTGGAGACTAGTTCACTATCGTCAGACGGTGATCCCGTGGGCCAACAATAACTTCCTTTGTGGGAGGAGTAAGGACACGCACTTAATCAAATAGAATAATGAAGCAGATTGTTGCTTATTACTGTTTCTCAAAGT